GGACTGGAGAACGGGAGTTGTAACACCCCTGTTTAAGAAGAGAGCACAGCGAGTGCTGCAACTACCGAGTCATTACTTTATTGAGCCTCCTGGGAAGAGTTTAGGCAAAGGTGTTAAATGTGAATTATAGGTGAATAGCTTGCTCTAAGATACAAGAAGAGCAGGCGGTGTCAGACTGCGCCACAGTACCTGGCCAGATCTTCACCTTATGTCGGATTGTTGAGAAATCGGGGAATTCGCTCATCCAGTTTACTTGTACTTTGTTGACCTATAGAAAGCTTATGATTGGATGACACACAAAAATCTCTAAGCAGTCTGTGAACATGTGTAACTGATGGCCAGTTGCTACCGGCTATTCGGTTACTGAATGCCTGTAAGAGGTGCTGCACCAGAGTAAATGAGTCGAAGCCTTTCAGCATTGGTACTGATCTCCGAAGAGGCTAGCCTCGATTCCCTGTCCTGTTTATTTTGTTCATAGGAAAATGGGGTTGGGAAGACGAATGGAGATGTGAAGGTGCTGTTTTCAGACCGCCTTATTTGTTGGCTTCTTCTAAAGCTGATTTCCAGTGTTCTCTGAAATGGTTCGCAACCCAGTACAACGTGGCCGACACACGTTTATAAAACCAATACATTATAAAGTAATAACTGTCGTGCTTTCTCATTCTCCTGCGTGTCGAGCACTTTAAGTGAACGCCGAAACAGTGCATTTGGTGGAGAAGTTCACATATCTCTGGATCGTGTTTACTGGTGATGGAAAATGAGGGAAGGACGTAGATCTGCGAATTGGAATAGCCAGTGGCGTCCGGTGTGAACAAGGCCGAACCGTTGTGACTAAAGCGGATCTGAGTCAAGTGACTGTTTTCAAGTCGATCTTCGTCCCAATGCTCACGCAAGGACATGAGTTGGGAGCCATGACAGAAAGCCGGATACAAGCGGCTGAAATGCGCTTTCTGAGGCAAATGGCATTACTTAAGCGTCTCGATGTGGTCCGGAATACAGAGAGTAGAGATCTTTTGTGCACAGTTGCAGTTTCTCAAGAATACACTGTAACAGCAGATCATGCGAATGTCTTCAGATGGAAACAGAAAATAGCTACTTCTTGCCCAACCGATTAGTCGAGGATTTAAGCGCCAGCAAAGAATAACTTGGGATTAGTGCATTGAAGAGGTGGGCTTCAGGCTCAGCTTATTTTCAATCGAGATTCAACGATTAACCCATGATCAGAAACTTTGGAGGCATTGTCGACGCGTATTTCTTTACAACCCGAAATGGACAATCGGTCACGTGAATTGTGTCTTTGATCGACCGCAAATGCTGCAGAGGCACTGGACAAGTATTTCTGAACGACAGTAGCTCAAAGTAGTCCATAGCATAAGGCTTGTTTCCCGGAATAATCTCAATCCGTGCTCTAACTTTCCTTTCATCTGCGTTAAAGAATGCCTTGCCTGTTTGTTGTGCATCAGCGCGGAGCTTATATATTTTTAGTTCCGGATGCACGCAAGACTAAATGCTTGGTAACCACAGTTGTGGTGGGCATGCTTAGCATCAGTAGCTTTCAGTGATTGTTTCAGTGCATTGCAGGCACCCATTAACTCGTGTTCGGCGTTGAGGGTTTGAGGAGGGAGGATAAATGTTTTTAATGGACTCCTTATGTATGAAAACAGCTACAATGCATGGTCCGAGCAGTCATATACCGGAGAACGGCGCTATTATCTTCGGTAGTATTAGTTCCTAGATTTTGCCGCATTTCACAGTGAATCATCTTTACACAGTTAAAGTTGGTCCGGCCAAGTGTGATGCCCCTGATGTGATACGGTGGATGTGAATTTACTGTACCTAATTCGTTTTCTTCAAAACCAATGGTTGTGTTCCAGGAGGTCCTACGTTCAAGTACAACGGCAAGGTTGTGAAAGTAACTCAGTTGTACGCTATGGTGCGTTTTTTTCCACGCAACTCATTCTAATGAATGGGGATAGTTCCCGAGTCCTTGGGCTGATTTTGTCTGGAAGCTGCACGAAACATGAATTAATAGCCCTATTCTGATTGGAATCCTATTCACTGTGTTGGCCCGTTGTCTCCAAAGTCACAGGCTTTTGGCGCTTTGCTCCGTGGAGCTCGCCATCCGAATTCGCTGTAATGCTTTGCGCCAAGGGAAGCTGTCTCTCATAGTAGAGCTAGATTCAACATCTGATGTATTCCTCTCAGGAGTCATACCCTAGCTAGAGGCAGCGGCCTCTAGATTAACCCCCTCTCTCTTTTGTCCGCCTGTCCCCACGGATATGTTCTTAAGTGCCTGTTCACCATCTGAAGGGCAAATATGTGTTCCCCTTCACAAAAGAGGAACATAGACCTCCACGCAACGTTCAAGAATCGATGGATACTCTTCATATGGCGGATTAAAACCTAATTATTTTATGCTCTGCCGAGAGAAATAGAGGGTAGGAGTTTCTATGGCCCATATGGCCAGCTATGCTCTGTGTCTGCCGAACAGAAACTGACGCTGAACTTGAACTGTTCAAAAGCACGATTTCAGGTTGTCATTGAGCTACACTAATAACACGAACTGACTCATCGCTCACAAACTAAGACGTAGCTGAATTTATGAAACCATAATGCCGATGTGATCAGTAGAGCGTATATGCTATTTACTATTTTTGCCAACTGCTAAACGACTACTGTTCTTGTAACTTCCCGATACGACATCCTCTTGGGTTCTCGCTTCGTATAATAACACGTTTCTCTTGGCCTCCATTTCTCTGTTGTTTTCTATCATCGTTGCCATATGTTCAACTCCTTTTCTTAGTGAAAATATCTGCAAGATTTTCGTCCTCGTTCTCTTCCATTACTGCAGCA